TATAGCCTGCAGCAATGCATCAAGGAAGATGATAGCGTCAAACAACTGCAGCTCCTGGAGGTCCGAACTGATCTGGGCTGTATAGCCTCTCTGACACAGGTCACACCCAACCTGCATTCACTGCAAGACATGCAGCAGGGCTCACAATCAAACAGGACGAAGGTTTCAAGTTTCACTGGGCCATATATAATACTCAATACTCCTACTTACAAAATCCCTGAAACAAAAATATATGACAATTTCCAAGATGGTCCATGATACTAGGACCAGTACATAAGTAAAGAACTCAGAAAAATTGTCATTTTAGTGACTAACTGTCGATCTGATGGAATACACACAAGTTACAATGAAGAAGTTTTCAAGTTTAACCTGGCATAAGACACTTTTCCACTTTCCACGGGGATTCCTGAAGACAGTGACCAGGCAGGGCTAGACAACGGGATTCAAATCGGGTCTTTTCACAAAATGTAATCGACACAAACCACTAGTACTAGCAATATAGAGACAAACACATAGTTTAGGAAATGTTTTAATTCACAATATTTTTCTCTCTTCCTGAATTGATTTTTTTCCACATTCTGTTATTATGTTAAGAGATGGCACGACCTGCTCTTGTATAATCAGGCCCGGCATGCTGTAATACAATACATACACCCAGTCCTGGTGCCGGACTCATCATCATCATCATCATAAGGTGTCCATTCCTGGTCTACATGTACCACTGCCCACAAGCTGTGTCCAGCAACACATGTCAGACATCACAGATCTCAAAAAGTTCAAATTCACATTTCTTGTGTCCCTCGCTGTGACTGACTGACTGACTGAGTTTGGTTTTACGCCGCTTTTAGCAATATTCCAGCAACATCACGGCAGGGGACACCAGAATGGGCTTCACACATTGTACCCATGTGGGGATTCGAACCCGGGTCTTCGGCGTGACGAGCCAACGCTTTAACCACTAGGCTACCCCACCGCCCAACCTCGCTATGACACTGCTGGAACATTGTTAAAAGCAACATAAAACTAAACTCACTCAGTCACTCACTCAAATTCGATTCAAAGAAAACTTCATGATGGTCATATTCTAAATGGTTTGACATACTTCTTTTCCAATTTTCACTGAATCAACTTTACAGAACCAGGTTAAAAGAGCACTCATTGACCAATGACTGGTTGCGGAGTGGCATTGCAATACAAAATCTAAAATTGCCCTAGGAAAATTGAAAGAATTTGTACCCTACAGAGTTGATACATAGATACATCATGCTGTGTACAAACAATACCCGGTACATACAGCATAGAGGTCGAGGAGGTTCCCACAGTTAGTGAAGGTTTCACCTAAAGTTATGTGTATTCTTTTCTAAAGACCTCCTCAATCTATGGAATATATTGGCATGGCATGTGTCACACTCATACAAGCAAACTAAACGAGACAATGTCCAATAATCAACCACTAGCACTGTCACTTACTCGGGTACATTACAGCTCTGTGAAATCATAATTAAGTGGTACAACTGGTGTTTCAGTTTACTTGTCAGAAAGTTGGTTTGGGGCTTACCTGTTGGGGAACTAAATACTACTTCTGTCTGAAGTTTAGGGTGTTTACTATTTTCAGGATTGAAACATGTATCGTCTGTAGTGAGACAAGGCCTTGTAAGAATTAGTAAATTGTGATAGCAACTATAAATACTACAGTCATTGCCCTATCCTTCTAGTTTTTTAATCCGTCAAAGATACAGCTGAGGGGCAATAATGTTATTAACTTGTGCTATGTTTATTTCATGTACAACCGTATGCCCTTTGGCTCAAGTAGGTTGAATTTGTAACAGAAGCAAAAATAGAGTTCCCTGAGGGTCGGTAACGCATATTCCCCATTCACCATCATCTAGTCCTTATTTAACTCCCTTTCCCCTCAAATTAATAACTTCCAAAGCCTTACTACCACAGAAAAATTTAACCTCCTGTTTAGAAATAATGAACAAAATAGTATAGAAATAATCTGTAGATTGTCTAAGGCCATTATTAAACACATTTGTATTATTATATATTTGTTCCTTTGCTTCATTATATATCTTGTTTATGTAGCTTATAGAATATTGTCACTGTTTCTTTATGTTTCAAAACCATCTCGAATATTCAGTAAGTCTGATATGCCATTAGTTATATGTTGTACCCCATAAGGAATAATGAACTATATATAAGGTATATATAAGGTATATTTATTTCATTAATCCGGTATAGATAACCAGTCTGGTCTTACACTGTATGACATACAGGTGGATAAAATACAGTTGGACAAAGTAATTATCGTAAGTGGATATCAAAACCTTCTGTGTTAATTAAATTCCCAACGGCTAAGGCTATGCTTATCACTGTTAAAGTATCATGTAACAATTAATATACTTCTGGTCCTTGGAAAGGGATTTACTCTAGCTAACAGGAGAAATTGTAATGGCTGTCATAAACAAATTTCTACACAAGATATGAGGTTTGCCTTTTCAAGAATGAAGTGTTTAGTAAACTTGCTAAATATACTGACTGACTGACTGACTGAGTTTGGTTTGGTTTTACGCAGCTTTTAGCAATATTCCAGCAACATCACGGCAGGGGACACCAGAAATGGGCTTCACAAATTGTGTCCATGTGGGGATTCGAACACCCGGGTCTTCGGTGTGACGAGCCAACGCTTTAACCATTAGGCTACCCCACCGCCCCTGCTAAATATACAATCCCAAGGGTTAATGATGAAATGTTTCCTGAACTGATAGAGATATTGGCATGATATCACTACAGTGGAACTGTTAGTAATCCTGACTACAGTTGCATTGTGTTCACATTTTGTGTTTCACTGTATTCCCATTTTTCTCACACATACAAAACACCTGGACAGGATTACAAAATTGAACCAAATTGTTAACTTTTGTTGATGGCTTCAAGTTCTGAACAAATGATCAATAGTATGAATGAAGCAGTGACTTACAACAGGTGTAAATGACCTTGGTCTCATACATACATACACATGTTAGTCAGAATGGCATGCCCCTGTCTGTCAAATCAAGTCAATTCAGGAATGTACGATTGTACTGTCACAACTTCAGACAAATCTGAATCTAGTGTCACAATAAATTGGAAACAAAGCTGTTGTTTTCTAAAAAAAATTTAAAGCAAACAAAATATTACAGCCAGCACAATTTAGAGTCTGTCAGGTCATGAGAAAAAATCTGAAACTAGAATGAATGTGCAGCCCACTTGGTCAGTGATTCCAAGGAGAGACAAGCCCATTAAAACTGGAAAGGACTCCAAAACACTTCTGAAGAAACTAGATCTGTGTCTTAACAGTCTTAGATAGCTTAAATTTCATTCGAATAGACAAATACCAGTTTGTATGTCTGCATACATTCTGTTTATCAGTCTGGAAGTTAACGATTACCTTAATTGCACAGATATGATATCTTAATCTGAGCACTAAAGCGTCTAGACCCAGCCTGGCAACAGACAACATAGAAAGTGAAGACAGTTCCTATATATGTAAAGAAAAGAGACTTACTAATACAGGTAGAAGTAAACTGACTTACTAAAACCGGCTAAAGTCAAAAACATCAAATAATCATGTCTTAAATTGATATGAACCAGAGACCCAGTCGATTCATAGAAAAGAAAGAACCATTTTGGATATAAGCTTAGCAAGAAATAATTAGTTTACATTAATAGAAACTAAATAAATGTAGTTTGAAAGAATGCATCAACTAACATTGTACACATGGTCTTGATACGTTCTAAGATAGATTTTGGTCAATGGACATCATAAAAATATATCAGTTCCAATTTTGAATGGAGGCCACACAAAAATATTCCTGACAAATTAAGTAATAGGTTAATATGTTTACCAATGAGTAGCTGTGACAATCAGAAGTTACTCCTGTATGCCACAAAGTGATGAAATATTGTACTTAGATTTGTATAGATAAACAGCAAACATGGAGCCTGGAATACGAGATTTTCGGATACCATGATAACATATACATGATAATATCATCAGATAATCTGTTGCCATACATGTCATTTGTTTGTGGGCAGCAGTGTCAACTCATACTAGAACCATCTGAACGAGGTGTGTTGCTTCACACAGACTTTGTAAGGACTTGCATGATGGATTGTGTTTAAGACAAAGCTGTCATTATAAGTTAGTGAGATGTGGTACTGCAGTTAGCCAGAAATGAATGAATGTTTTTCAGCATCTAAAAGCACATAATACGAAGATATAGCATCAGATAATATGAATGTATGTATATCTTTATGTTTACCTCACTGATAGCATAAAAACACAGCAAGACAGAGCAATGGTGATTTCTTCAAAGATGGCATTATTAGTAACTGGAAGCTGGACTAGTTTGAAGTGGACCATAAATAAAACGTGTAATAGACTAATAGTTGGTAATTTAACGTGTGCTGTTCTTTATACTGAAAGGGTACGTGTTGACAGATAACTAGTCAAACATGCATGTGATGAGGGAATAATTTTAAAATCCTCCACCTTAATGAAGATATGTTGGCAATGCATCAATTAACAAAATATTGCCAACATAACTTCATACTGCAGTATGGAAGAATGGTGAGAATGATTCCTTTGCAACTTTTGCTCTTGGACTTTCACCTTGCAATGTAAGGACCGACTGTAACATTGTTGGAGTGAGATAGGCCTAAAGTGCAAACGGGTATAATTATTCAGGTCGGTATGCATGTAAGAGTATGAATTCCACAAGCCATTCTTTCTGTCTGTGCATGACTTGATGAATGGAATGTAGGTCAAGTTTGTAAACGGTTACGGGGGTCATGAATTTGCTCTATAAAATGGGTCATTTTGGAAAATCCTCCATGCACGATATACAGAACGAACACATGAAAGATGTTCCATTCCTATTCGTTAAGTTCCGATCAAAGTGCGAGAGTTTGAAGATGGTTGATAACTTGTTATGTTAAATTGTCTCACAACAACTTACCGCTCGAAAGATTTTCCAAGTTGTTTTTCTCTCTGGGGGCGACTTGATCAGCCACCCTGAGTAAACCACATTTCCTATTTTGTTCATTTTCGCTTGCCCCATAATATCCGAGGCACTGTAAAATCCGTTCAGAAAATCATGTCGACGAAGTCTTCAGATTAATGTTACTCAAGTTTGACACTGTCAACATGTTCGGTTCTTTTCACATCGATGCAGGAAGTTTCTGACAACTCGGGAAACGTAAACGAGACCTTTTCCGATTGACCGTACTACTCCCCTAACAACTAGTCAGAACACGCTAAACCAGTGCCCGATTTCAGATGAAACGAATTGCACTTCTCTACATCCATATTCACGTACCGAAATCCATATATTTTAGGATTACAGTGATTCGAACAATTCAATAGTATCCCGAAAGAGTTTCAGTGCCTCAAGTGACTAAATAATCACCAATTTAGGAATTATAATTCCACCTATCAAGGCCCACCTATCAACAATCGGAAGTGTCAACGCCCACTTTTGTCGGTGCATATCAAGTAACCGCACCATGATTTTATTGTTTGACATCTTGTCGACACTGCATGGTCAGGATATATGCATAGTTAATAGACAATTAGTACAATGTTTTGTCAGAGTTCATGCCGATTAACCGACAGCTGCACAAATACGGAATTCCTCGATTTTGCCTGATTCATACTGATGAAGACCAAGATCAAACTAAATCTACAAGTGTATTGATACGTTATTTGTTACAAATTCTACGCCATTTGACCGGTTTTGGTCAGGTAAAGATGCGTGATGATGAATTGCGTGACATGCGTGACTTGTACGTCCATTTTTATACCCTGACAATGAAATGCGTGACTAACACGGTGTATTTATATGTCCAATACCCGGAAGTATACAGTGGTGTTAGATAATGTATATCCGACACAACTAGTCGACGCTGAGTAATGTGTGACTACCTACAGAGGATTCGTTATCTACTTTTCGGAGCACCAAGCTTAGTTTTAGAAACATAAAGATTTAAGTATTGATTCATTATATATTAATTTCAGAATGTTTTGCTTCTGCTGTAGTATATTGATTGTTGTCCTGCAAAGCAAGGGACTCTGATATATACACAATGCCATTTAGAAAGTGGTCAAATGTAACACGTTATATTTGGGATGACACTTTCTCAGTAAAGGACACCCGCTTTCGATTCCCCACATGGTACAATGTGTGAAGTCCATTTCTGTTGTCCCCGACCATAATATTGCTGGAATATTGCTAAAAGCAGCGTAAAATGAAACTTACTCACTCAGTAATAAACAGATTCAAGTACGTTTTTTGGGTTGGGTGCCATCCGGCATTCGAACCCACACCCTCAGAGTCAGGCACCTAATCGCCATCACAGAAATACAAAACGTCTTACCCGTCTGTTGAGACTCAACCCAGTAAAAAGTACAAGACTCTGTACTTTACTGAGAAAGTGTAATCCCAAATGTAACAGGGGACTATGAAATATCAATGTAACAATCAAGTATTAGAACAACGATATGATGACAAATATCCATCGCAAGAACGTTTATACACACAAACACCCAACAGGGGTGGATCCAGTGCGCGTGCGTGCGTGTGTGTGTGTGCACCCCTTCTCCCCCGTAAACAATTTCACTGGGGAGCATTTCCCCCTAACCTCTGTGGACCTTATGATTTACATGCACCTCCCTTCACCAAAATCCTGGATCCGCCTATGGCCCAAACACATACCAAGACTTGCACGTGACTCACGCAAATATATGTGCGTTGGGTGTCATTCCGGATTTTGACACTTTCAATGAATGTCGGTTAATCTGTGGACCTTTATTTCTGTCAGTGGTCAGACGTTTTTAGTCTGCTTGTTCATTGTGTGTAATCTAAAGATGTGGGACACCGCAAGACTACATGCTTAAGTCGGGAAACTACTATAGAAGCCAGCGTGCAGTGGCCAAAACGTAAAGTTTCTGTGATTAACATATTGTCGGAAAAGTACTAACAAACCCACACTGGTGACGATCGAACCCATTCGGATTCAGGATGCGATGGATCCACACCAGGCTCCACGAAATCGAACTCAAACGTCTAAACAGATTGCTGCAAACGTCCACCTGTCTGTTAGAGTACCAGTATACAGGGTTTAACAGTAGCTTATCTCCATGTTCCACGACCACGTATTGTGCCTCCCTTTACAAACTGCCATGTTGACTTCAATGATGTTTTTAACGTCGAAAGTGGGTTAATCGTCTCTGGTCACGTGTGAGATTTTCAGACGAGCCCCGATTTTGTTTTAACTTCCTTGATAGGCATGGTATATAGTGTCTGGCGACGTCGAAATGAACGTGAAGTCAATAAATGTCAACCTGAGACATCATGCCAGATTTGGCGGTGGTTCGGGTGTCTATGATTGAGCAAAACCCGCTACATATTGTGGAAAGAAGGGTCACTAAACAGACAACTTGCTGGCACTCTTTGTTCTCCTGTTTGCAAGGAGTTTGGTGCACGTGCACGAATCGCAAGTGCGGAACACTGGCAGCAAAACGTTCACTGACTGCCACGCCCAGTAATGAGACCAGAGTCTTTCTCTGTTGAACACATCAGGGACATGATAAGGAGACCTGTGCGTCAACCGCTCAGACCGCCGACCACGTTGGCTGAACTTGGCCATGCACTGCAAGAGGAGTGAGACAGAATACCTCAAATCGCCATGCGCAGTACCGCTCGTCGGGTGAATGAATGTTTGACAAATTGTAACGTATTACTCTATCTCAAGACATCAACTTTGAAATGTCCAATCTTATCCCCGCAAGTTCCCTTCAGTCACAACAGCAACGTCATGATTCGCTACTAGTTGTAACGCTTGTCAAACGCCTTTAATATTATCATGCAACTATTACTAGAAATAATCTCTTTTCTGATAAACTCTACAATATTTTCGAGGGTCTCCTATTACTATAAGAGGAAGTGTCATCTTTGATATAACATGAGTTAAATGGCCACTTTCTAAAAGGCGCTGTTCATAGCTTTCGGCAATGGGAACCCTGAGAATTTACTCTTTTCAAAGGGGTACACAAAGACTGCAAGACCCAGACTACGCTCACATTCTAAAAAGCATTGTGTGTTCATACTTTTATAAAGACTGTAGGTATACTTGTATTTATACGAATATCGTTACCTCCGTCTTGGACAGAGATAAATATCTGATTTGTTTAGGTTTATATCCTCCATGGTGATTGTTGGACATAACTGAGCCGGGCACCCCGTCGCAACAGTTAATGAGGATGATCACGAACTAAATTGTCTGGTGAAGACTTACTAACATGCATGCGCCGTGGACTATGGCCAACTGTGACGTAGAACATCCATCCATCCATCCATCCATCCATCCATCCCACCATCCATCCATCCCACCATCCATCCATCCACCATCCATCCATCCCAAATCCCTCTGTCCATCCACTGGGATTATTGGAGAGGAACATTCATCTCTATACCACACCAAGGTTGAGTTTAAAGGAAGGCAAACACCTGTGACTGGTTGGGACTACAGGAATTAAAGACAGAAAACATGTGAGGCATGGTCTCTGTTCTAAACAACAAAGAAATTGAAAGACTCGGGTTTCCAAAGCGGAAATGAATGAATTGGCGCACTGCTCATATCGAAACCACAGACAGATGATCTCACATAATTCGTATTGTGATCAAGTACTAACATGGAAATTATCTTTCTTTTGTGTTTTGACTTCCGGTGTATAATGCGTCACCACAGGAAGTGAGAGAATTGTCTCTACATACGTGATCTTGTTTATTGTGTTACGTCACGCTCAGCAATATAAAACCACACACCATGTCGTCCATATATCATTTAGGGGTACAGAAAATTCCCTCTGAATATATTATTGTGGAAATATATCGTGTGGCATCCGCCTGTCCTTCACTTCGACTGAGTGCAGACCGCCTCCGTGGTGTAGTGGTTAGGGCGTCCGCCCGGAGAGCGGAAGGTCGCGGGTTCGATCCCCGACCGCATCATACCAAAAGACGTTAAAATAAGGTACTTGTTGGTCCCTGCCTGACGCTCGGCATTAACGGGTACAACAAGGACTGGTCGGCTCGGAGTCAGTATAATGTGTCTGAGTGGGGTATTCATGCTTCACTGCGGCATGGTATCTCAGTGGGCTAGCACTACAAAACCAGCTTCAGTCTGGGCTAGTACAAGCAGCCGCACCTACGCATACACACGCATGCACGTCGTCATATGAGCGAAATATTCTCCAGCACGACGTTAAACCCAATTTCACCTCACCTCAACAGTGAGTGCAAGCCGAGTCAGTTGTGATGAGTAAATGATGTCACAACAAACGGTACGCATTCACGATAATGTTGACACTGGGTTCCGTCTCTTCATCAATAACAACAACTTTTTAAAACGCGCAGTCAAGGCCGTGAACCTGATTAGATCCTTAAATGGACGGATACGGTTGTAATTATGTTCAATATCACTGAACGTGATCGTTTTCCCTTCATGTTGATTGTCCAGTTATGTCAATTATCCCATTGTTTCTATTGTTTGCGAAGGGCACCATATAGAGCAATGTGCCGTATCAAAGCGCATTCCCTGAATGTCATCTATTTTCATGATGTCACCGGCGACTTTGCGTCAGCCCGGTCACACAGTGAAATGACTGATCTGTATCTGTATTTCTGATAAGGAAACACAAACTTCTGTCTATCGTTTCCCAGAAAACGTTAAACCGAATCGTGTATCGCCTCACAGACAAAATCCCATAATAGAGATATCCACTCACTCACTCACTCACTCCCATTCAGAACTTGTGAACGTAAAATAAATCGTGCGTTGGTTAGAGGACACGATTCGTGCACATTTGTAAAGTTTACATTTCATTCCAACTTCAGAGTTTGATTTGTATCAGTTGTATATGAAGCTACTTTGAAACATGATTAAACGGGTGTTTGAATCCGAGATCCGTGGTGTGTCAGTACCATACCTGTGCCTGCTGAGCTACATGACACACAGCAACTTAACACATCACAGTATTGCTACACATGTCATCGTATCCCACTTGCGTTGATCGATGCTCATGATGTTCATCACAGAATTGTCTGGTCCATACTTGATTGTTCACCATATAGGCGGATCCAGAAAGGGGTGGGTGGGTGGTGGGTGAGCGGTGTGCAGGGGTACGCACTCCTCCCCTTTTTGTCCTGAAAGTTTATTAAATGACCATTGAAACTCGGTGAAAATGAAGTGTGCACCCCCCCCCTTCTCAAGACTGTGCACCCCCTCTTTTTAAAAAAAAGCTGTATCCGCCCCTGTTTACAGACTGCCGCCATATAGCTGAAATATTGCTGAAATATTGCTG